TATTTCGATATAGCTACCCACAAGCCGAGGGAGTTGAGAAAAATTATTCTTAAACTTCTTAAACTTAAAGAATGTCAGTAGGGGCACGCGGCAGCTGCGAGTTGGAAGGTTTCGTTTCTCGATTAAGTCATTGGATTTGTCAATTGGCCTAATCCTTCCAGCCGCACTGTGACCCTGGGTTTGACTTAGCGTCTAACAGAAATGAGTACCAGAAATCTACCTGGGGGTATGATGCGAGCAAGAAATAAAAACACATCTGTATCTGCAAAACATTCAGCCTATTTTGCAGGAATATACGGATATTGACCACTGTTTCAAAGCTGTATTCCGCGTTCTGAAGCTGTAGAGGTCTGCTCAGACCCTTTTCTGTTACATCCGCATTCTGTAATCAGTTACAGCAGCGGTTCGTCCAACATGAATATAGTCTGTTATGTTCTGAGGCGTTCTTTGAGGTGTACTTGATTTCCTCATTGTTCCGAGAAGTGACTGCATTTCTGATTCAGGCAGTTGAGTGTCATGTATTATATTCGTGGATATAACGCCGCGTAGTCCGTTGAAAGTCAACCGACGTTTCAAAGGAACATGTCTCCTCCATCTTTAGGGACGAATAATAACCCGAGCAAGAAACCAGCACTGCCTTGCTTACCACCTCCTTTCACCCTTGCTTTTTGCTCCTCAACTAGTGATTACTATAGATTTGTATTTTAAATTCCAACCATCACTTGAAGAAGGGAGTAGAAAACACCACCGACACATCTTGTACACCAAATATGTTTCAGAGAATAGGCAAGTCTAACACAATTTAATTACAGTAGTTTTTTATGGGACCCATTTCATAATCATTAAATTATTAATAGACTCGAATATTTTAACACTTTTTAAGCCTATACCCGAGAAAGTTGGATCAAGAGACAAAACTTCTGTTTTATATTCTGATAGTCATGGTAATCATTATACTGCAATGTGTTTTGCTACTGAAGACGCCGTTCAGATTGTTAATTGGTTTATTTAACAATCCACAGATCGTAACTACAATTACTTATGACACTATTACGGGTTTACAGCCTTTACAAACCCTACACACAATCTCTTCACACTGTCCTCAGTAGTCAACACGTATTCACAGTACGATACGGGAGCTATACCAGTGTCACTGTATTACACACTCCCAATAGCTTCTCACACTATCGGTGTTCACGTTCACGATTCGCTCGCTACAACTGAACTCGGCGAATGTCACAATTCAACTGGTTCCTTAGGCAATGCAGTTCTCTTACAAACCCTCAGCCAGACAACGGAAAGCGTCTCGCTTCCCTGTTGCCATGTCGCCTGTTTACAGGTGTTGCTGGGCAACGCTGTCTAGAGTTGCTTCCTGCTGTGCAGTAACCGCCGCATCCCCCTCCACGTCACCGCGAGGGAGGGGGGCGGAGTATTGACTGGCCTCCTACCCTAGTAGCGACAGCGCTTCGATGCCACCACGTTACCGCTGGCGGAGGAAGGGATATCCTCCATAGCTCAATGCGTCACAATACTAACTAGAGACAGTTATTATTATTAAGGTATTACCTTAAAATAGACCACGGTCACTTCATCCTACATTCTTTCATAATTCATTAATCGTCATATATTTTACGTTCTATGAGATACTGATAACATCGCTAAATAAAACCGTAAATTATAATTAGACCATATATATATAAACTGTATCCAACTTTAATAATTAATGGCCATTTTTCACCACAAGCCGAACGGTCTAAGGCATGTACGGTCTTCGCTCGCTCGGAAGCCGGGATCGTGGGTTCTAATCCCACACAAGGCATGGATGTTTGGTATGTATACGTGATTAGTCTATGTTTGTGTTGTCCTATGTTTAGGTATAGGCCATGCGACGGACTAATCACTCGTCCAAGGAATCCTACCGTCTGTAAAATCATCATGAAACTGAAAAAATAATCAGAGTCCAGGGTCCAAAGGGGGCTGTAGAGCCAGTGAAAAAGAAAATACTCACCACAGAATTTTTCCCCATTTTTATGAGACCGGAGATATTTACGAATATACTCATATTTGTCTCGAGCAAGAAGCAGTTGGCATCCCTGCTCTGAAGTGTGTTGACACGTGCCTCGCTCACTTCATTAGATTCCCCGGTATCCTAGCGTGACCCGTCGCGGAGCGATTCCAGGTATGTGATCGAAAATTACACGCCACATAAATCCTTTTCAGCACCTCCTCCATCAGTTTCTATAGCGAAGTTAATTAATAACACAAATTATAAGTACGAGTTCTAAGAATGTCTATGTTCATATCTATGATTCGGTTAAATACGTGGGCGTTACCACGATTTTCTTTTGTTCGATGCCTGGGAAACCAGAAGCTTTTATTAACATACTTTAGACCACTTAATATTATTTCTACTGATTTTTTTTTCATTGGCGCTACAGCCCTCATTTGGGCCTAGGCCTACCTCCATGAAACTCTCCGTTTCACTTCGGTTTACTAGATCTTAGACATACGGTAAGACTCCTTGGGAGGGTGATCAGCTCGTCGCAAGGCCTCTACCTGTATACAAACACAGAAAAACGCACACAAACATCGATGCCCTGAGTGAGATTCGAACTCACGATCCCGACTTCCGAGCGAGCGAAGACAATGCATGCCTTAGACCGCTCGGCTACCGTGACCGGCATTTCTACTGATAGTCTTAGAATATTCAGGACGTAATAATGTATTTTACTTTTTTTTACTGTGATATTAATATTTGTAAGTTTCGTTACTTTTTCTATTTTGATTTGTTTTATAAAAATTCAAAGGGGAGAGCAGATGCCTGATTCGGCCCCCAATGGCGACATCCGTGTATAAATAATTCAGTGTGCACGCTGTTGAGAAGTACCGGGCAAAGAGAAAGCCAGTACATCAGTTTTATATATTTGCCTTAGGTATAGAATCGTTTTCACTAACTCGGGACATTCTGTATCTTATGTGGGAGATATTCGTATGTGTTAGTGGTTAGAGAATTCTGTCTCCAGTATAGACACGGATGTTGAACGCTCTGTAATGACCATAATCGCAAAGTAGCTCTCGATGTAGCTCTGTTGTCTGCAACTTCATGGCTAACATTCTGTGACATCTGCTTGCTACAGGACAAAGAATTATAGTTTATATCAAAGGAGTGATTTCTGTTGTGTTTGCTGTTATGTGATCTGCATGGGTTCAAGAAAAGAAAACGCTGGTATACGGAGCAGTTTTGCATTATACGTAGTAGAGCGTGGATTCCAGTAGACCAGTTCACTCGCTCAATCGTGGCGAGTTAACTCGCAGCCAGTCTACTCGTTAAACAACTAGGCGGGAGAGCAAACTAACAGACTAGTTTACTCGCTACCAAGCAAGAGGATAAAGTTAAAAGTTATCAACTTTTGTTGCTCACCGGCGAATTCACTAACAAGCGAGTGAAGTGGCGCTGGGTAATAAGGCGTGAGATTGCAGCGGCGAATGAAATGAACACTCTCTCCAACCAGCGATTTAACTATCTCAATGTAATAACATATTTGCTACCAGCCAACTCACTCATTACTGAATTCACCAGCGAGTATCGCCTGATGAAACCGATGGCAAAGGGTTTGGACTTATATTCTGGAAGGAACTGTTCGTTTCGAATCTCCATCTGGACATTGGCTAGCCTGACTTGCTGACCTTTATCGTGGCTTTCCTCAGTCCGGAATAATACGAATATTACGCCACCGCCGCTTCCTACAAAAACCCTTTCCAATTTACCAGCTGTAAATCATTCTACCAGTCGTTGCTACGGAATCTGACTGCTGGCAGCGTCCTGAAATAAAGAAATAAAAAGACACTGGCGTAGGAAAATCTGTTCCCATTTTCGGCATGTGAACCAATGTAAGAATATCATCTTGAATATAATGCCGTACAATCTGGTAGAAATTTACTCGACATTTCGGAGGACAGATTTTCCGCTTTCATTACTTCTTGCTGTGCTTACTCTTCGACCCTTAACATAGGAGAAGCACATTCTTCTGAAACGACAATAAATTCTACCAGACTACACAACGTCACGTACGAAACTATAGTACCCTTCATAGTCACCACCATGAGAAATTCTGGTCTAACCAAGATTCCAGATTTAATTTCTTAAACACAGTAGTTTCTGTACGTAACATTACAGAAATCTATATTCTGCCCACGTATTAGTATAATTTCCCAGAATAAATAGCGACTGTTTCCCTGAACAGCATTTACCAGTTGGGTTTGATAAAATAAAATTAATGTTTCCGGTAAGGAAGGAAATGAATGTTTAAACATTATTCAGAAGAAATTCGCACTCCATACATATAAACATAATGGTACAAATGACAAAATAACAAGAAGAATTCTGTCTTCTGGAATATAAAGCCGTGTAGTTCGTTGAAAGCCAGAATCGGTTGTCTTTAAGCGGACTACATTGCGTTATATCCCACCGCTGTGAGAATCTCATATCCTGCAAATAAATAAAATCATAAATATTTCCTGGCTGTTAAGAACCGCCTCTGTGGCCTAGTGGTCAGAGTTTCTGGCTACAGATCCATAGGTCCCGTTGCTACCAGATTTTCTGAAAAGTAGTGGGTCTGGAACGGGGTCCACTCAGCCTCGTGTGGATAACTGAGGAGTTACTAGAATGGAAAAGTAGCGATTCGGTCTATAAAACCAAGATTAACGGCCGTGGGGATTCGTTGCGCTGACTATGCGACACCCTCTATCCGCTAAAGTTGGCACTAACTTCGCCGACAAGCGACGGTCTCTCAGTCGGTATAGTTCGCTTGCGGACTAAAGCCACGAAGTTTTAAGTTTTTTTTTTTTTTTTTTTTTTAGAAAACCAGATGATGCTCCTTATGTTGCATCCTGTATTTATGCAATCATGGCAGTTGTACTAACAATTGCAGTAAGTCTGCAGACAATTCCCTCTCTTACTTCAACAGGTTAAGATCAGTTCTTTTTTTCATTCTTTGCAGATAAGGCTCCGTCAGAAGCGACGTTCAGAGGTTCCGAATATCTATCCTACGACCTGAGCAGAACAGGAGGGGGACCTATCGTCAGCACTCAGGATTCCATCTCTCTCAACTTCAAGACGAGACAACCCAGCGGTCTCCTCTTCTACACAGGCAAGGCACAGCTCATTGCAGCTTCTCGTATTTTTCGCAGTGTAGTCCAAAGCACCTCCTTTTTCATCCTTCCCAAATCATAATCACGTCAGCTGCGTAATTTGAAAGGAGGTTCGATAGGAAAGCAGTGCTTCTATGTACAAGGTGTCCCAGGGCGAAGGTCAATATTCTGGGAGGTCATAGTATCGGTCATTCTAAACAAAAAAAACGTGTATATGTACATGTGTCCTCTCCCGAATGGTTTCCGAGATTCAGCTATTTCACTCTACAGTGCACTGTACACTGTACATAGGAGCAACACGCCATATCCTCACACGAGTTGCGAAGTGCATTGATGTTGATGGAGGAATTTTTGGCAACGTATTATACTAGGCAAACTGTACGAACTTTATCACTTGAGCAATAAATACCGGAATTAGAAACAGTACGTAATATCTCTTTATTATAAAAAATTTTGGAACTGTGTAGCGAAACCATTCGGAAGAGGACACATGTACATATACAATTTTTGTTTAGAATGCCCGATACTATGACTTCCCAGAATATTGACCATTCCCCCTGGGACATCCTGTATAGAAGAGTTATGAGGAGAGAGATAGAGATATAAAGCATAGTAGAAGAGCAGGTAAAAGAGGAAAGTCTTGGGATAAGCATGAGACTTCGTTGTGCGTAGGGAGAAAGAACATACTTCCGTTAGAAGGTTCTCAGGCTCCGCCTGCTTGTCTCTGAGTGAAAATTAACACTTTAGGATCGTTAGAAGCAATGGCTCCAGAGAAGGATAGCGGTATTTTGATTTTCTGAGTTAATATCGACGTATAATTTAGAAAAACAATTTTATCGTCTTTGGCAGAAATGGCGCTTAATTTTGTCGAATTTAAGTCGACAGGTCTACATGAAAAGAATGCAGTAGCTATTTGGAACTTTGGAACAATCTCACTATTTGCTTAAGACAAGGGAAATCCAAGAAAATCTGGTCGAGATAACAAGTTCTGGGAAGAACAAATCACCTACTTTCCTTTTTATATGACACGGACCGCATAGAAAATAAAAAAAATTACGTGAGATACACAGACAGCAAGGTATTGTTAACCATGTAAGAAGAAGTATATGTGATACCTTTACATAGATTTTAAATTTATGTCGAATGCCTCATGTAAAAGCCATACGTTCAGTTTGACGTATGAATCAGTCAGGCGAACACAGAGGAGACCCTCAGAGGTAAATAGAACTGGCCAGTGGGAATTTAATAATTTAAGAATTTCAGTATTTCAATATATTTTATTCCCACAAACAAACAAATTATTTTTATTTGGTCAACTCAGATATACGAGGGAGAGTCAGTAAATACTGTAAATCACAAATGGATGTAAAACGTAAAACATGTGATATTTGGACCTGAAAAAAACATTTATTTCTCGACATATTTTCCACCAACACTGATACACATGAACCATCCCTTTACAAATGCGTCGAAACCAGCAGCATATAAAATTTTTTGACTGTTGTCTCAGCCACTTCCGCGCCTCCGTTTCAACATCAGAGAAAATTTTGCCACCAGTTGTTAAACGCTTTACACGATGAACACTTCTTGACGTAAATAGGAAATATTTCTTTATGAATATCTTTTGCATTTAGTCATTTGACCATAGAAAACGCTCAACAGAACGCTGATCTTCGTTAATACACTCATCAAACATAGTAGACATTTTGACTACTGAAACCAGCCTCTGAACATGCGCATGCGCGTCTGCTACCTAGACTCTCATGAAGTTTGACTGTGCTTCTGACTATTGATGCACATAGAAAACCTATTACATCCATTACAGCTGTTTTACTTCCATCTGTGACCTATTTACTGACTCTCTCTCGTACATTTATTCGTAAGCCCAGCCAATGTATTTTCTTTACTGACTGGGGCTGCCTGTATGAATATAAATTTGTCATCAATGTTAGTGCGCTGAGTTCTGTAAACTACAACTTCATCTAGGTTTACGTGCGTTTCATTTTTACTTCGCCTTAATTAAAATTTTAAATTTTCGGCTCTACGAGGGGGTTTCCTCCCTCCCATTTTCCTTTCACAAGAGGGGCGGAAGCCACGGAAGGGGTCCTCATTACGTAACATCTTTCCTAGACTGGGCTAAATACATCAAGTAAGACGGAGTAGAAGAAAGGAGCTTGAATCTCATTATGATTAAAGGAATTGTTAGAAATCCTCAGCGATTAGAAGCACTAATTGGATTTAGACGTGGGGTAAGAAGAAATTTATCCTCACTTCGAAGGATCTACCTGACATTCAGCACCAAGATTAGGGGATCAGCTTTAATGCCTTGATGAACTTTGTCACAACTTGTTAAGATAAATTTCGAGATTTTTAGTGTATAGATTATGGAAGGTACACGTGCAGTAGCTCAGTATATTGGCTAAGCATTGGGATCGACGACCAAGGTTAGAGTCAGGCCGCGCCATAACTCAAGTGGTTAGTCGTTTGATTCCCACCGTGGGGGCCTGGGTTCGATCCCGGGTCTGGTCGAGTGGGATTTATGGTGGATAAAGTGGCGCTGGGGCGGGTTTTCTCCGAGTACTTCGGTTTCCCCTGCCAATCTTCATTCCACCAAATTCTCCATCATCATAATGACCCAGGGCAGGCTACAATAAGCCAATCAGTGGCCGCCGTGCCGAGTGACCCAGTTGGACTCCACTCCCCACTAACCGAATTAAAAAAAAAAGGTTAGGGTCACCACCAGGAAACGTATTATGCATTCCGATTGACTCTCAATTTCCACGTAGGATTATGTTTAATTGAAACACATGAGTGTACGTACGTCAGAATGGGACACCGTGTAAAATTGTGCGTGGATATGAATGTTGATGTGCAATTTTCTGCCTCCATATTCCATGTTCGTGCACACTTTCGGTAGGAAAAGAAATAGTCACTGGGAGGATCTAGTAGTAGGTGGTATGACAATATTGTCGCGTGTGCATGTGTGACTATAGACGGGGTTTGGTTTGGTGAATATATTTATTGACCACTTACAGGTCGTAACTACAAATAACTATAACATTACCTTTGATATCCACACTTTACAGCTCACTAGAACACAGTCTAGTGTTCTCTGTTAATAGACGTTTGCTGGTAACGGCTTCAAAAACGGCTATTCCTCTAACACCGACTCGCGTCCTATCTTCACACGCTACCGTACAGAACTATCAACTGACCTTGTCTCTTGCTTATAGCATCTCGGCACTGACCACATAGAAAACAGCTCTTCTATTGTTATATCCAACTGTTAAATTATTAAGAATCTGTTGCCTAGCAACGGGAACGTGCTTACCGGAACCGGTCGTTGTTTAGTAAGTCACCGCTTAACATTTTCTCTGTACACCACAATATTAAAATGGGCCTTAAAGACAGGATTGGAAAGTGTGGACTGGATTCGTCTGTCTCAGGATTTGGACCAGTGGCGGGCTCTCTTGAAGACGATAATAAACCTTCAGGTTCTGTAGAATGCTGGAAATTACTTGAATAGTTGAGCAATTATTAGATTCTCAAGAAGGACGCTGCTCCATAAAGTTGGTTAGTTCCTGGTGTTCATACTACAATTATGCGCTGAAGTGTTATCCAGGAACTGGCACTATATAGTCATGAACAGAGGAGTCTGACGTGTTTTTAATTAAACACTCCTTTCTACTCTCATAATTATTAGACTTGTGTGGAGTCTGAAATTTCTCTAGACAAAGAATGCGTGTTTTCGTTTATTTCACGGTTGGAGTTCTTCAGAAGACGGTGAAGAGACCCAGAACAGCGCGATGCCTCGGTATTCGAAGACGCGATTCTTCTTGGAGAGAGTACGGACCTTAGAATTTGTAGAATTCTTCAACGTGTTCAAATTGAGGATAAGTACAACTTTCAATTTCTTACTTTGCTGTTAAGACCAAGGCTCTAATTAACTTACTTACATCATGGGACGGAGTTCTTGAGAAACAAACAGTCGCTCAATTTTGAAGAAATTCATCGCCATCCGTGATCATTTCTCCAGAATTTTCTTCTCAACAGAAGCGTCTGTATATTTTTGAACTGGAGCGTCTAGCTAGTTCTGAACTGAGTCCTCGCCATAGCTCAAGCGGTTAGTCGTTGGCTTCCCATCGCGGCGGCCCGGGTTCGATCCCGGGTCTGGTGAAGTGGGATTTCTGGTGGACAAAGTGGCGCTGGGGCAGGTTTTCTCCGAATACTTCGGTTTCCCCTGCCAATGTTCATTCCACCAATTGCTCCACACTCACCCTCACCTATCATCTGGGGCTGGTACAATAGGGCAGAAGTGGCCGCAGTACAAGGGACTTAGTCCCACCCTGCTAGCAATAAAAAAAGTTCTGAACTGAAGAGTCTGCTTAGTTCTGAACTGGAGCGTCTGCCTAGTTCTGAACTTAAGCGTCTGTCCAGTTCTGAACTGGAGCATCTGCCCAAATCTAAACAGGAGAATTTACCTACGAAATTCTGAAAATCCATTACTCTCTCTTACTCACCCTTGCTGCAGGTCCCTGAAACGGTGTGTGTTTTCATAATTTTATTAAATTCGGCGCTTTAAGAACAACTGTAGCTTTGTTCAGTTTGTCCATCAAAACAGCTGCACGCCAGGCTTGAGATACATAACTTGAACAAGCGGAAGCTACCAGAAAGTTTCTCGACAAAAGAAAGACATCTCATATGAACAAGTTTCTGCACAATTAGATGTAGGAAGTGCGAAGACTGTAACGTCAGGCTCATGTCAGAGTTCGTCTGAATGCCGTAACCCTTCTGGGCAAGCCCCCGCAGTCTCCATGTTTCCATTTAGGGCCGGGACTCACTGCAGTAGCATCAGCTGCCGGCATTCCCGTCTCATGAATATTTCATATCTGTGTAAAAGCCAGTCCCGTCCAGCTTCTGTGAGAAGCGGCAGATAAGGACAGGGTTTTGGTTTAAAGCTATGAACAGTGTGGAGACTGCCCTGCAGCTAAAGCTAATC